GAATCAAGATTGCCAGGAGAAATATCAATAACCTCAGACATGAAGATGACACCACCCTTACGGCAGAAAGCAAAGAAGAGCTATAGAGCCTCTTGATGAAAGTGAAAGAGAGTGAAAAATCTGGCTTAAGAGTCAACATTCAAAAAACGAAGATGATGGCATACAGTCCCATCACTTCATGGCAAATAGATGGGGAAACAATGGAAACAGTGGCAGACTATTTTCTTGGGCTCCAAAATCACTGCAGACAGTGACTGCTGCTGCTGCTGCTGACAAGTCACTTCAGTCGTATCCGACTCTGTGCGACCCCACAGACGGCAGCCCACCAGGCTCCCCCATCCCTGGGATTCTCCAGGCAAGAACAGTGGAGTGGGTTGCCATTTCCTTCTCCAATGTGTGAAAGTGAAAAGTGAAAGTGAAGTCGTTCAGTTGTGTCCGACTCTTAGCGACCCCATGGACTGCAGCCCACCAGGCTCCTCCGTCCATGGGATTTTCCAGGCAAGAGCACTGGAGCGGGGTGCCATTGCCTTCTCCAGATGATGACTGCAGCCATGAAATTAAAAGACACTTGCTCCTTGGAAGAAAAGCTATGACAAACATAGACAGCATATTAAAAAGCAGAGATATTACTTTGGTGACAAAAGTCTTGTCTAGTCAAAGCTATGGTTTTTCCAATAGTCATGTGTGAATGTGAGAGCTGGACTATAAAGAAAGTTGAACGCTGAAGAACTGATGTTTCTGAATTGTGATGTTGAAGACTCTTGAGAGTCCCTTGGACTGCAAGGAGATCCAACCAGTCCATCCTAAAAGAGATCAGTCCTGAGTGTTCATTGGAAGGACTGATGCTGAAGCTGAAACTTCAGTCTTTCGACCACCTGATGTGAAGAACTGACTCATTGGAAAAGACCCTGATGCTGGGAAAGATTGAGGGCAGGAGGAGAAGGGGACGACAGAGGATGAGATGGCTGGATGGCATCACCGACTCGATGGACGTGAGTTTGAGCAAGCTCCAGGAGTTGGTGATGGACAAGGAAGCTTGGCATGCTGCAGTTCATGGGGTCGCCAAGAGTAGGACATGACTGAGAAACTGAACTGAACTGAGTTCTGAGCTAGAAATAGGGGTGGGGAATGGGAGACAGGAAAAACCAAGAGGGCAAGCATGTAGACAGCATTTCACTCCACCACCTGATTTCCTTTATTCATGCATTAGTTTTAACTACAAAATAAATAAATATCCAATATATAAAACGTGAAATCCCATCACCCATCGGTAACCACTTTACATACTGATGTATCTCTGAGAGTAATGGAATTTTATTTACTATTTTTATATGTATAAATACAGTGTTTTTCTCTTCTCAACAGAAATTCTATTATATCTAAATTCTTATCTATATTCTTCTCACTAACAGTATATCTAAAGGATTAGTTCAATGAGGATGAGACGGTTGGCTAGTCCACTAGTTGATGGGGAAGACGCCTGGCACAGAAAAAAAGAGACTGCAATGACTAATCTTGAAGGCAGCCGGGGATGAGGGCTGGATCTGAGATTGTCTAAACAGGCAGGCAGCCCTGAGCGAACTGTGTAGACTCTGGAGGCAGTTACCTAGCTGAAAGTCAGTGGGCAAGCTGGCCTGATACTAACAAGCCCAGCCTTATTTTATAGGACCTCCGTTGGTGGGGTGTGTGGTATGGGGACAGGGGCCTGGCTGAGAAAGGGTCAGAACCCCGGCCTCAGGGTCAGAGTGGGGCTAGATCCTGCAAGGAGTGGCTGTGTGAGAGTCCCAGTGAGAAAGGGGGAGCCCTTGACAACCACTTCCAATCAACTCAGTGGCTCATCTATCAGGGATAAGGTTAACTCCAGACTAGCTCCAGGCTGAGGATGCTGAATTAAATTAGTAGCAGTAGTGATGAAGAGGAGGGGGTCAATTCAAGAATTAATCTTGACTAATCATTGGTGTGGCTCCCCTGGTGGCTCAGACTAAAGAATCCACCTGCAATGTGGGAGACCTGGGTTCGATCCCTGGGTTGGAAAGATCCCCTGGAGGAGGAAATGGCAACCCACTCCTGTATTCCTGCCCGGAGAATCCCATGGATGGAGGAGCCTGGTGGGCTACATAATTGGCAAGAGACAGCGACTGGTGGGAAGGAAGGGAAGAGCATAAAGTTTCCCAATCTGCTCTGCTACAAATGACCTGAAAAGCCTAATAAACAGAGACTTCCGAGCCTCTTTACTGAAGATTCCAACTTAATAAGTCTAGGGTGAGATCCAAGAATCTACCTGTCATTTTGTGTGTGTGTGTGTGATTAGTATTTTTTATTTTTTTATTGAAGTATAGTTGATTTACAATATTGTGTTATTTTCAGGCATATAGCAAAGTGATTCAGTTTATGTCTCTGGCTTGGGGTATTGGGTACGGGTAATGGAATTCACTGACTTCAGTTTTAGGTATGTTGAATTTGGAACATAACAACAATGGTGATAGGACTTCCCTGGTGGTCCAGGGGCTAAGACTCCAAGCTCCCGATGCAAGGGGCCTGGGTTCTATCCTTGGTCAGGGAATTAGATCCCACCACAACTAAGACTCAGCATAACCACATAAATAAATTACATTAAAATAAATATTTAAAAAAACAATAGTGACTAAATCTATTGAGCATTTACTTTATACTGGTGCTTCACATGCACTATTTAATTTAATCCATAAAACATCCATATAAGGGAATTACTATTGCTATACTCCTTTTGAAAATGAGTAAATTGAGTGATAGGGACAGTAAATCATTTTCCATTAATTACACAACTAGTAAAGATAGATCAATAGAACAAAAAGAAAGTCCAGAGATTAATCCATGCACCTATAGACACCTTATCTTTGACAAAGGAGGCAAAAATATACAATGCAGAAAAGACTATCTCTTCAACAAGTGGTGCTGGGAAAACTGGTCAACTACGTGAAATAGAATGAAACTAGAACATTTTCTAACACCATACACAATAATAAACTCAAAATGGATCAAAGACATAAATATAAGACCAGAAACTAAAACTCTTAGAGGAAAACATAGGTAGAACACTCTCTGACATAAAACATAGCAAGATCCTCTATGACCCACCTCCCAGAGGAATGGAAATAAAAACAAAAATAAGGAAATGGGACCTAATTAAACTTAAAAAGCTTTTGCACAACAAAGGAAACTATAAACAAGGTGAAAAGACAGCCCTCAGAATGGGAGAAAATAATTGCAAATGAAACAACTATCAAAGAATTAATCTCCAAAATATACAAGCAGCTCAATGCCAGAAAAACAACCCAGTCAAAAAGTGGGCAAAAGATCTATATTTCTCCAAAGAAGATATACCGATGGCTAATAAACACATGAAAAGATGTGCTCAACATCACTTATTAAAAGAAAAATGCAAATCAAAACCGCAATGAGGTACCATCTCACGCCAGTAAGAATGGCCATCAACAAAAAGTCTACAAACAATAAATGCTGGAGAGGGTGTGGAGAAAAGGGAACCCTCTTACACTGTTGGTGGGAATGCAAACTAGTACAGCAAATGGAGAACAGTGTGGAGATTCCTTAAAACACTGGGAAAAGAGCTGCCAGGAATTCCACTGCTCAGCATATACACCAAAAAAGGAGGATTGAAAGAGACAGATGTACTCCAATGTTTGTGGCAGCACGATTTACAACACCGAGGACATGGAAGCAACCTAGATGTCTGCGGGGAGATGAATGGATAAGGAAGCCACGGTACATACACATAATGGGATACTGGTCAGCTCTAAAAAGGAGTGTATTTGAGTCAGTTCTAATGGGATGGATGAACCTAGAACCTATTATACAGAATGAAGTAAGTCAGAAAGAGAAAGAAAAATACTGTATATTAATGCATATAAATAGAATCTAGGAGGATGACATGGACCTACAGAACAGCAAAGGAGACACAGAGACGTAAAGGGCAGACTTCTGGGCTCAGTGGAAGGAGGAGAGGGTAGCATGACTTGGGAGAACAGCACTGAAATGCGTACATTACCATATGTAAAAGAGATGACCAGCGAAGCAGGCACCCAGGGCCAGGGTCTGTGACAGCGGGAGGGATGAGGTCTGGAGGGAGGCGGGTGGGGGCTTCAGGCTGGGGGAACACATGTATACCTAGGGCTGATTCATGTTGACATATGACAAAAACCATCACAGTGCTGTAAAGTAACTATCCTCCAATTGCATAAACAGATTTAAAAGAGAGAGCAGATCTGGATGTTTAGACCCAGACACACCTTACCCCAAAGCCCTAGTTCTTCCCAACAATGTTCTATTGTCTGCTGAGCGGATATGTTCCCACAGGCGGGAGCACCCAAGTTGAGTTGAATCACAGGTCAGGGCTGGAAATAAGGATTTGAAATGAAAATTTGCTTTAGACTGCCCAAGGAGAAAGCCTGCAGAGAGAGAAGAATATTTGGTCAGAGGTGGAGCTGTGTTCCTGTTTTGAAATGTGGGCAGTGGATAAAAAGGCCTTGGGCGTCAGAGAGGTTCTCGGAGAATCAGGAGAGACAAACATTTTATAAATGAAGCAAGTTGAATCACCAGAAGGAGTAAATTTAAGGGCAGTAAAGAGCTCCTTTAAAATAAATTATCCCTTGAATTTGGCGAAGGAGATAATTTTTTTACCGTGCCCAGGAAGGTGGGGTCGGGGAGGAGAAAGCCAGTCTCCTCAGACTGAGGAGAAAAGAGATGAGGAGATGGAGGCGGTGGGTGAGGCCTTTTCTGGCAGGCTCAGCCTTGACAAAATAAACAGGAAAAATATCCACCGGGATGTTCACTACGCTCATCTCTGAGTAGCTGGGTTCCAAGTCTCTTTCATTTCCTGACTCCTTTTTTTCCTCTCAGACTGCACTTTAGTAAGAATGCACTTGAGTAAGCATTGTTTTCATTGAGGGCGGTGCTGGAGAAGGAGAAAGCTGGGGGAGCAGGTTTGCCCCCCTTAACCTGGGATGGACAAAGGAAAAAGGTAAACTGCGGTCTTACCTTCATGCAGGGGCAGATAAGCTATGGAAATGAAAAAGGTACACTCGGTATCTTAAAAGATAAAGAGGGCACTTTTCAATCTACAAGGTTAATTTTATAAAATTGATTTATTTTTCTGCACTAAAATTGTATATACTTGTGGTAATCTGGAAGTCTAAGAATGTTGGCTGTTGACTATTGCCATCGTGTTCTTAGAAAATTATTTTCCTTTTTTCTGTGGAATGTTCCAATACCTAGCTATACCATTAAGTACTGCTGAGTTCATCTGTTTGTGCTTTGACAAAGGAGCCATTTTAGGGGCAGATTTGTGAACTCAGGCAAGAAACTTAATACCAGCTAACTGTGATAAAACCCATTACCAGTTAGAAATAAACTTAATGATTGCTTAGCTGGTTTCTTATGAAAACCTTTTCTAAGTGACTTGTTCTCTTCTTTACTTGTCAGTGTTTCAGGAAAGAGTGAACTTGATTTCTCTGCATCTACTAAATCCAGCTGTGACAAAATCTTATTTGTGAGGTATGATTTAAAAGTTAGAGAAAATTAATGAAACCCGAAAAAAAAATATTTTTCAATTTCAACTTTAAAAAAATAAACCTGTATTGACAATAGTAGGAAAATTATTTAAGATGCAAAATGAAAGCATTTGGGACTCAAGGACAGAGATGACTAGAGGGGCCACAGGAGAGGTGTTAAGTTGGGGCTACCAGTGTCTGTTCACAGACCCAGGGAAACAGCCGGGTGAGGGAGAACTGGCCAGGTTAGGAAGTCTCAGATGTGACAGGGCTGGGGAAACTAGGGCTGGCAGAGAAAGGAAGCCAGACTGCAGTAAAGAAATAGCATCTCTCACTTCTTTGCCATCACCCTGTGGGTAATCCCTCTGACGTTTTCAGCTTCTACTTCCAGTCTGACTGCCACATATTTATGGAAAGCATTTTTGCTACAAAACTGATCATCATTGTGCAATGTGATCTTTTTCACTTAATATTATAGCATTTTATCGTGGCATTGAATATTATAAGTAACACTTTGGTACCTAAAAATCCCTTATTTAGATGTTACATTTTTCAAGGTTAGTGAAACATTTTCAGATTACTTTCTAGAAAAATTATATCAATTTCTTTCCCATCAGTAATAGATCAGTCCTGCTTCACCACACTCACAAGCTGTGATGTTATCATTTTTTTCCATCATTGTCAATTTGATAGGGAAAATAGGGTATAGAGTTGTAGATTTTAATTTGCATTTCTTTTATTATCTTCAAGGTTGGTTATTTTGGTGGCATTATAGTTCACATATATTCCCACTCTGAAATATTCATGTCCTTAATTATTTTGTTTAATATGATAATCATGCTTTTATTAATTTGGATTATTTTTAAAATATCAAGTACATTCATATTTACCTGCCATCTTGGCTTTTAACTTTTAAAAATTTAGAGGGAGAGTAGCCAGACCTAAACAGCATGCTGCAGATATTGAAAAGTGATAACTATTTGTAAATATTTCTATTTGTTTCTCTTTGTTGACTGTATGTTTTAAGTGCCAGAAGGGGAAAAAAAAAAGTGCCGGAAGACATTATCATCAACATCACCATCATCATTGCTTCATGCCTCAATATTGATTCCAGGTATTCTTTTTCTTATTTTTCACTCCAGTTAAAGATTTCCAACTATGATTGCTGGATGGCATTTCATTGCCTGTGGATTTCTTCATGGAATGTGAAGAGTTAAAAAGTGAATGGCAGATGAGCTGTGTTGTTTTTCTGCAATATGTCCATTTTTTTTCAATGAACTAAGATGAGAGCATTTCATAGTGATTAAATGTGGTTGCAGGTTTGGAGCTAGAAAGCCCTGATTACTAGCCAGCAATGTATCTGTGGCCCACATTTCCTCTCTGGGTTGTGGTTTCTTCCTCTGTTAAATGGGCAAGCAGTCTGGGGGAGGTTTGTGAGGCTAAATGAGAAATGCATGCAGAGTATTTTAGTTCCAGGCCTCACACATGGCACGTGCCCCATAAGGAGTGCTTGGGTTCAGTGGATGCAATACCACTGCAGAGGTGATCTCTGGCTGGGATATGCCGCTTCATTGTGATTCGGCTTCTCAAGGATCTTTAGAAAATCCTTCCAACCATGGACCCTCTTAGGTTCTGTTCTGTGCAGACTTACTTTTGATCCTTTTATGGAACTGTGATAAAATATTATAAGAAAAATTAGTCTGGGATCCCCATAGCAATTGCTGATGGGTGGAGAAGCACTTGGGCATGTGTAAAACCCAACATTGCATGTCTCACGGCACAGCGTGGGGGCTTAAGATGCAGATACTAGTAACCAGATTCTGACTAGTGACTTGACCTGAATTCTTTCAGTGAATTGAAATGGCACTAGATAGAATTTAAAACAGTATGTATGCTCCTCTTTCTCAACATGTCAAATTTCTAGAATAAAAGAGACTACTTCCTGGCCAGCTCATATCCAGAAAACAAAAACAGGAGGTGAAGTCTGGACCTTTGTGAACAAACAAAAGTCATCTCTAAACTATACAGCAGTTCCTGGTGGTTCTCTTTCAAATGCTGGCTATTCTTTCTGTCATCTCATCTCAATGGTCTTGTCTCAGAGGCCTTCCAGACTGTTCAGTTCCTTGCCCATTGCTTTCCTCCACTTCCTGTTTGGTTCCAATATTTAACATGCTCTTAACATAATCATTGATTACTTGTGCTGCATACCCGTCATCTGTCCCCTTTCCTGGGATGGACTTTCCATGAGGACAAGACCCAGGTCTCAGCATCCAGCTTGGGGCAGACACGAGGCAGAAACTCCATGCATCTCCTCCAGGTACACCTGTTGACTGAGACAACTCCAGAGGTGAGCTAACAGCTCAAATCAGCGATCTCTGCCCCTCTGTGCTGACTCTCCTCTTTCATGATGGCTCCCTTTGCCCTCGAGGGGAATGCACATTTGAAAGTGCTCCAGATACGCTCAGCTCAGTCTCTTACCAGCTCTCCTAAAGTCTACGACTCCCTCCCACGGGGTTCCCTGGGGAGAGGCAGAATAAATGGATTCTCATGGAGTAATGCAGTCGCATGCTCACTCCTTACTCCACACTAGTATTCGCTCAGAATAAATGCAGAGCTAAACTAAGGTGCCTCCATCCCTTTGGTGGTTCAACAAAGTAAGACTAAAAGTAACAGCTCATTGACAAAATAAAAGAAAAATTTAAGTGGTAGCTTTGTGGTATTCACCTGGATTAGAACCTGAGGAGATGTCTCTGTGCCCTTCCTCATCTCTCCTCTCTTACAGGACTCCAGAGAAAGTTTTTGCTTCAAAGCCAGCTCTTGTTCTCCTCAACCTGTAAGTGGGAGGTACGGTGTTGGGGGGTTCCTTTATTCCACACCACTCAGCCTCAGACCAGCACAGCTGGCCTTTGGAGACCTTACCTGGAGTGAAGTTCTCAAGAACAGATTTTCATTTCTCAGGTAACAAGACATTAGTTTTGTTCGTGGTTACACAGAAACATGGTAATACATGGAAAATACAGAAAAATGCCAATCAGGCAAGTATGAGCACTGAAACCACTGCCTTCCCCTGGGGAAAAAATTAGCATCCACATTCTGGCATAGCCCTCCAGGAGTTTTTTGGTTTTTTTCTCTGTCTGTACTTATTTATCTCTACAAGTATAGAAAGCAATGATGCATTTTCAAAAGGAAATATCTTGTAGACTGCCACAAGCATTTAAGTTTTAAAAGAAGGGGCACGTTTTTCGTTCGAGCAGAGGGAGGACAGTTTGTCGGTTTAGTTCATGGCTATAACCCCACAGTTAGAACAGCACTTAGCTAAATAATTAACGGTTTGAATGAATGAAAGCAAATAACATCTCTCTGTTAAACAAGAAAGAAACTCTATATTGAGACTATCTACTTGTTTATGGGTTTTTTTTTTTTTCTTTCCTGTTTCCCTATATGCACTCCCTGGCCACTTCTAAACAAATTATAGCCTCCCCATTCAGGGAAATCTTTAAAAATTGCCTTGGAGCCTTTACGGTCATGTCCAGGGTCTTTAGCCAAAGTTTATAGGGTTTAATTGAAAAGCTAAGTCAACGGTAAGAATCTTGCTTATTCAGAGGCAAAACTGTTAAGTAGCTGGATATAAAGAAATAAAAAGCTGCCCATTTGAATTCTCAAAAGCTTAGCCTTACAACTTGCTTGAGTATTGCCTTTTTAAAGTGAGTGTGTGTAGTGGGGTGGGGGCTAGGGGATTAGGGTGGAGAACAAATGACATCAAGTGTCTCCCACCCTCATCTATGTAGAATTTTCACACACATAAAAAAAGTTACACCTAAAAAAAAAAAAGTTACATCTGAATCTTAACTATGAGAAACAGACAAACCCCAATTGAGGGGCATTCTGGCTCAGACTCCTAAAAAATGAACCAGCATGTGTATGTGAACCCCCAGGAAATGCAGTAGAATTCACTGCATTTTTTTTCTGCTATTGCCTCCTATTTTCACTGTCTAGATTATGAAAGTGAGCTAGCCAGGAAGTAGACTCTTTTGTTCTGAAAATTAAAGTAATTTAATATAGAGAATGGCAAAGTCCCATTCATTACCTAATTAACAGGAACATCTCTCTCCTTGATGAAAATTTGTTGACCTCATTAGCTTAGACCAGAAGCCAAGAGAATGCAGCTGTCCCTAGAACATGTATTCCTGAGATAATGAACTAAAAGCCAAGGTTTTACTGTGCAGTTTAAAGTTTGCTTTTTTACCCCTAATCATCTCATCTCTTTCATCCACTCATTACCTGACAAGATTAGACATTTTGGAATTTCTTTCCTCTTCTGAGTTCTACTGCAGCGTGGTCCTAGCTATAGTGTGAAGGCAGTTTTCCTTTGGGAAAGTTCTGAGATGTGGTTTTCTCATAAGGCAAAGGAGGCACCCTCTTTTTCAAGCCTTTCATCCTGCCATTACCTTTGAAAGGTTAAAAATCTGCCATTCCATTTTAATGCGTTAAAATATAATCAAGTAAGTTCATCAGAGAATTAAGATGGCTAAATTAAGATGTCACAGGTGAGTGACACTGAAGAATAGTGAGCCAGGAAACAGTGAGAAATTATCTTTGTGCATGAAGCTTTGCATGCCAATCAGCACACTTCATCAGGACATTTTCCTAGGTGGAAATTTATTTAAGTCAGAGAATGTAAAGTGGGTTTTTTTTAAATCACTGTTTCTACTTTTTATTATAGGAAATTTTAAACGCATAAAAAAATGAATAGCAAAATGGATCCCTGTGTAGCCATTTCCCAGCTTCAACAAAGATCAATGTGTAATCAATCACTTTTCATCCATAGTCCCATGTAGGCACTTCTAATCTTCAGTGGATAATTTTCAAGCAAATTCTAAACACCATGATTTCATCTGTTAATATTTCAATCTGTGTTTCTGGAATATAAAAATGCTTTTTGTTTCTGACCTTAACTTCAATGCAGTAATTGCATCTAATGATAATAATTCTTTAATATGGTTAAATGTCCGTATAGAGTGGTTTAGATATGTCAAACTGCTTTTTGAAGTCTCTAAACAAATTTATATTTTCACCAACCACGTTTGAGACTGTTTACTGCATTCTCATCAAAATTATGTATTAGTTTTCTTTTTTTTTTTTCACTTTGGAAAGCTTTTTAATAGATTATTTACAAACAAAATTATGTATTAGTTTTCTTTCCTTCACTAATTTAATAAATGACCCACGCTATCCCATTGATATTGGAATTTGCATTTCTTTTATCAGTGGGGTTGCATATTTTTTCATAAGCTTATGAATTATTTATATTTCCTTGTTAGTGCTCTATCTATTCCTGGCCTTTGAACATTCACCAGTTGCAATCTTAGTGTTTCTTTTATGAGATCTACATGAAAGTTTGTTAGAGATGGAGCTACTATTTTTCCACTGATTTGCTTACTTAGCCTCTTACCATCATCAGTGATTGTCACTGAAAGGAAGAAAAAAAAAAAAACCTGAAATTAAAACTCCTCCCAAAGCCACCCAGCCCTAAGTCCACCCTGTACTTTAGTACTTTGCATGAATCGATCCTGCCACGTCTCTGCCAAGGTGTATCTGGCTTCTGTTTAAACATTTCTAGTAATAGAAACCTCACTGTTTTAAGGGCGTCAGGTCTGAATATGGGCTATAATAATTGGAAAATGTCTTGCATTGAATGGAAGTCTTTATATTGAACTTATTAATAGTAACCTCTACCTTGTTCTCTCCAAGGAAGCAACCCAAAATATCATTCTCAGCAGATGGATCCCTTTAAATTTCTGATAACAGTATAGTTTCCTACATTCAGGCCAACATTCCAGCTCCTTCAATCACTCATTTGTTGTCATTTCTAAGCTCCTCATTATTTTGACCTTTCTCTTCTAGACATACCCAAAGTCAATGCTCCTAATAAAATGTCCCTCGGTCTCCTTATTTCTCCATCTACAAAATGGTTCTCAGAACAAAAGGGATAATGCTATCATTGTTGTCCTCCTGCTCTGAGAAATTGGTTATAATTTAGCATTTTAAAAAACTCTTTAAAATAGTCTCTAGATGTAAGCCAACCTTTAACATGGAATCAAGCTTCTATAATAA